TGGAGGGGAGTGGGAGGGTGTGTCGAAACCCATGCCGTACTGCGTTGCCGTACACCTCACGGTGATGCAGGGGCGTTCAGAGGTGCTGGAGGGGCGAGGGGGTGGTGAGGGGAGTGGGGAGCATGGAGGGGGGTGGGAGGGCGTGTCGAAACCCATGCCGTACTGCGTTGCCGTACACCTCACGGTGATGCAGGGGCGTTCAGGGGTGCTGGAGGGGCGAGGGGGTGGTGAGGGGAGTGAGGAGCATGGAGGGGGGTGGGAGGGCGTGTCGAAACCCGTGCCGTACTGCGTTGCCGTACATCTCACGGTGATGCAGGGGCGTTCAGGGGTGCTGGAGGGACGAGGGGGTGGTGAGGGGAGTGGGGAGCATGGAGGGGGGTGGGAGGGCGTGTCGAAACCCATGCCGTACTGCGTTGCCGTACACCTCACGGTGATGCAGGGGCGTCCAGGGGTGCTGGAGGGGCGAGGGGGTGGTGAGGGAAGTGGGGAGCATGGAGGGGGGTGGGAGGGCGTGTCGAAACCCATGCCGTACTGCGTTGCCGTACACCTCACGGTGATGCAGGGGCGTTCAGGGGTGCTAGAGGGGCGAGGGGGAGGTGAGGGAAGTGGGGAGCATGGAGGGGGGTGGGAGGGCGTGTCGAAACCCATGCCGTACTGCGTTGCCGAACACCTCACGGTGATGCAGGGGCGTTCAGAAGTGCTAGAGGGGCGAGGGGGTGGTGAGGGGAGTGGGGAGCATGGAGGGGGGTGGGAGGGCGTGTCGAAACCCATGCCGTACTGCGTTGCCGTACACCTCACGGTGATGCAGGGGCGTTCAGGGGTGCTAGAGGGGCGAGGGGGAGGTGAGGGGAGGGGAGTGGGGAGCATGGAGGGGGGTGGGAGGGCGTGTCGAAACCCGTGCCGTACTGCGTTGCCGTACACCTCACGGTGATGCAGGGGCGTTCAGAGGTGCTGGAGGGGCGAGGGGGAGGTGAGGGGAGTGGGGAGCATGGAGGGGGGTGGGAGGGCGTGTCGAAACCCGTGCCGTACTGCGTTGCCGTACACCTCACGGTGATGCAGGGGCGTTCAGAGGTGCTGGAGGGGCGAGGGGGTGGTGAGGGGAGTGGGGAGCATGGAGGGGGGTGGGAGGGCGTGTCGAAACCCATGCCGTACTGCGTTGCCGTACATCTCACGGTGATGCAGGGGCGTTCAGGGGTGCTGGAGGGGCGAGGGGGTGGTGAGGGGAGTGGGGAGCATGGAGGGGGGTGGGAGGGCGTGTCGAAACCCATGCCGTACTGCGTTGCCGTACATCTCACGGTGATGCAGGGGCGTTCAGGGGTGCTGGAGGGGCGACCTGTCCAAAGTTAACAGCAACATCAGCGGTAATGTCCAGAAGGAATTCAGGTCAGACGAGTACCTAATGCTAACTCAGACAGTGGGGTTCGGGCCGGACAAGCGAATCCTGATGGACGTCGGCGCATGGGCTCGTCTGCAAGCGGTCAGCAGCAGCGGAACTAGTGAGCAGCCGTTGTCAAACGAGGAGTTTGTGTTTGTGTTCGAGGCGACGGTGCAGGAGGTGCTGAATGAGGTGATCAGCACCCAGCGAGTGCCGCGGATGAGCAGCGATTACGAAGAGGAGCTGTTGCGGGAGGCCGCTGGCATCCATGCCGCTCTTGTCGAGGCAGGGCGGCCCGGTCTTTTGTACGACAACCGCTCGGCGGCAGCCTCTCCTGCTGGCGGCGCCGCTGCTGTTACGCGGCAGGCGCTGGCGGGTGGATCTCCTAGCAGCCAGGGGCGTAAGCGGAAGGGGAAGGAGGTGGAGGAGGAAGGGGAGGTGGGGACGGCGACGACAGGCAAGCAAGCGGCCGTTTCTGCGCACGCACGTACTGCGGGCCCTATACCCTTCCCATTTAACGAGCTGGAGGGTTTGGTGAGCCACATAGCTTCAGCTTTCCGCCTGAACGCGACGAGGCAGCCTAACGCAACGGAGGACGAACGGCGGGCAGCATATGCCAGCGTGACCGGAAGCACGCCGCTGACGGTGCAGATGGATGATGATAACATACCAGCGGTCAACATGTTTGACTTTGCGGTAACGCGCAGCCGGGCGGGCAAGGTCCTTGCGCAGCTGCCGCCGCCGTTACCGTTTCGTGCCGTGTGGGGCCCTCCAAAGACCGGGCGGTTCACATCGGCGGTGGTTGGAAACCTGCTGCCACCGGGCACTATAGTGGTGAGCGACGTAAAGAAGACTGGCATCCAGCCACGGGCAGGTGTCGTCATCTGTGGCCACTCAGAGCATGGATGGGGAGGCTACTCTGTGCCGGTTCTGTGCTTATGTGACAGCTGTTCAGAAACAGACGACGCCCTCCAGCGGATCTTCGACCTTAAGACGGCGTTTCACCGGCACGCGGGGCAGGAATCTCTTGACACAGCCGCGTTTAACTGCCATGCTGTTGTATGGTTTCCAATGGAGGGCGCGCCGGCGGATGATGACCTTCTGTTCAGCGAGGACGTTGACTCGCCGACGACGCCCGGTTTGACAGGCCTGGTGGTGGTGTCAATCCATCGGCTTCTGGCAGGCTGGGCTAAAGTCGGCGGCCGTCCATTGCGTCGGTTGCCGGAAGGGCTGTTCTCGGCTGCTTCACCGAGACCTGATTGGAGGCTGCCGGCAGACCCCCAGAAGCTGCCGAGGTTTAGGCGGGCACGGGAGCTCATCGAGGAGTGGCACGGCAGAATGACTCGGCTTTCCTCAACGCCCGCGGACGCCACGCAACATGCGTTCAATGCTGTCCTGTCCGAGATTCCGCCGGCGAGTGAGGCCGAGGCTCGCACGGCGGCGGACGCGGCGCATGCAGCTGCTGAGAGCGCGGTCCTGGCACGGCCGCGGACGGAATACATCTTCCAAACTCGAAACGGTGCAGAGGGGACGGGATCTCGGGTTGGTCTGGAGGGGGAAGATGAGGAGGTTAAGGAAGGGAAGAGAGAGCGGCGTAAGAAGGAAGCAGGCGGCGGAAAAGACAGGAAGGGATAAGCATGCATGTAGCATTACACGCATGCACTAGCATGGATACGCTGGGATATGTTTAACTGGGTTTGCATCACGCAAGTTGGGTAACGGTATGAGAGTGTTGAGGTAACGGCATGAGAGTATTGGGTAGCGGCATGAGAGTATTGTTTGCTTTACTTTGCACATGTGCCGGGCTGTGTCTGTGCTAATGTATGACGCGAGGGGGTGTGTAGAGCTTGCACAATATGCGGGGGGATTAAAGCGGGGATGCTTGCATGCGTGTGGGGGCTACAACGGGTGAGGCGGCAAGTTGCATGTGGCGAGTTGGCGAGTTGGCGATGTGCGAGTTGGCGAGTCGGCGAGTTGGGTAACGTTGGAACGGGTGCCGTTGCCGTTGCATGCTGCAATTGCATGGATTGGGCGACGTTGCTGTACATGTCTCACCACATAACAGAGATCCGGCGACGTCGCTGTTAAGCTGTGTCTTCTTAAATGTTTAACGGGCCCTTTTGGATTGAATTGGCGCAACTTGGTAGTAGACGTTGCATGTCGGTGATGATTGGAACCGTCGGTAAGGTTGTGGGATCGCCGCATGTGCACATGGTAAGGCCGTACATGTTGCCGTGTTTCCGGCGCAGGTGATTGTCTGAAAGCGGAAGCACAACTACATGTGTACGATAGAGTTGTGCATGATGATGGCTGCTGAACGGTACAGCGACGGTTATGGATCGTATTAATTGGGGCTAGCTAGTGGATAGCGAGGTGATGGATGTAAGTACCGAAGCTTTTCTTGTCTGTTACATCATAATTGGGTGTGGCAATTGCTGTCCAGTTCATGCAACCCGTACAGACCTATTGCGTGATGGAGCTGCTATCATGCTGTGACGGTCTATGTCACCCATATCATCGGTGCCCCATGTCATCCATTCAACCGTCAACGACACAGAAAGCAGAATGTACAGAAGGATAGCAGCAGGTGCGACCTCACCGACCCACAGAAAGTAAGAAAAAAACGGCATGCAAGGGCTGCGATCGAATAACAACGTTCGAATGCAAACGTATCCAATATCCCCAAACGGCAGTCCTTACGGAGACAATGTATTGAAACGATAGTATGGGCATACGCATCAGGCAACGACGCAGCACATCACATGCACCACCGACGCATCTTGTCATTCGGTCCATTTCCTATAGGCACATGCGGTCGGTAGACACAGCAGAATGTACGGAAAGACAGCAACATGTACGGCCACACCAAAACATTCCATTTCTTATCAACACGGCCATGGAAGCCCACACGGCCATGGAAGCCCACACGGGCATGGAAGCCCACACGGCCATGGAAGCCCACACGGCCATGGAATCCCATGACGCAGGAAGCGGGACAGGGACCGCTGCGGCACCTCCGAAATGTCGACGTCGCCGAACTCCTGGACGTAACCGGGGACGTGGCGGAGGACATCCAGGGTGTCAGCGTACACCGCGTAGTGGCGACCCTGGTGAGTGAGGGCCATCGGGAAAACGTGGGCCTCGCCAAGCACGGGCCTGACGATCAGAGGCTGAACGGAGGCGTTCTCCATCACTCCCTCCTGCATTGATGCAACGAGAGAAGATACCCGCGATCGTTAAGCCGTACAAGGTGAAAGGCAGTCCTCAACCATTGACTGGCAATCAGCAAGTTTGTAAACTGTATGAAGGAACGGATCGTCATTAATGAGATGTAATGGCCCATAGGATCAGATTGAGCATGATCGATTGGGTTGATCGGTAAAGGAATTCGAAGGATTTCGTAACGATATTGCATGAAACAAAGAAACGAGACGGATGCAAAGCGTCGCAAACGTACTTGCGGAAGTGCCGACTCGATGGTTGCGTCCCACTCCTGCGCCAGGCGGCTCGTCCACGCAACCGGGACAGGGTTACCCGCAGCAGCGATGGCGGCGTTAGCCCTCTCCAGGAATGGCTGAACCCGGCGCGTAACGGGGGCGCCGAAGAAGTAGGTGTTGTTGATCCACATGGTTCCTACGGTGGATTTGGGTTGGAGAACGAGGGTGATGGTGATGGTGACGGTGAAGCAACATGACTACATTCGATGAAATTACGCGGCGGCTATGAAGAAAACTAAGGACTATCGCAAATGTACGAGTGAAGCTGGACAGTCGCCAATGCAATAACGAAGAACGAATAAAGCAATAAAGAGCCACATGACAAAGCAAGGCAAGCAGCCAAAGGGCCTCACCTCCGTACGTGGGGTTCTTGCGCTCATGGAACCCGTTCGCGTACAGTGGCAGCTGCTGGGAGGCTGCGCTCTGCAGCAGTCGCTCCATCGCGGAAGGAAGGGCAGCAGCACGCGCCTTCAGGGATACCTTGAAAGGCAAAGGCACCGGTCCGGAAACGTCTTGGACGGCGATCATGGCGTCCACCTTCTTGTACGTCTCCCCGTTGCCGACGTACTCAGTGAACGTGCCGTACGGGACCATGAGCGTCGGGGCGAGGTTGGCGACGTTGGGGTTGTCGTTAACAGGTGGATTGGGCAGTATCCGCACGTCATGAGGGCCGAGCTCGATGAACCGATCAGTGGGTTCCACCTATTGCATAGGCAAAAGGTACATAACCAGGAAATCCGAATGTTAGACTCAACGGGAACACTTGCAATCAGGAGGGCTGTAACCCACACATGATGACACGAAACACGACCCGAAGTCACTATCCCGAAACAATTAACTCACCACCACATTCGCCAGTCCATCCGTATGCAGCTGCACGTAGGACAGCTGCGACAGACGTGCAAGAGGCCTTGTCGACTGGATGGCCGCACCCACCACCGGGTCGACGGTGACAATGTTGCCGAGCGCGTCACGGAAGCGTTCAATGCAGGAACCGCTGACCTCTAGCGCAACCGCCGACATGGAGATGTCGCCATCGTCGGCACCTGGTACGGCAGGCCCGATCAACACGCAATGGCTGTCCCTGACTGCGTAATCCAAGCTGTCCTGCGGAGCAAAAGCCAGTGTCGGCTGGAACGCCACAAGCCGTCGGAGGAGCCTGGGGCTGCCGGCAATGGCGCTTGCCGCAGACGACGCCCTGAGACGAAACGGGAGAGCAACCAGCGATGTTAACATAAAGAAGACCCATGGGTCAACGAAGAATTTGGCTAGTGCAACTACATGCAAACAATGTCAAATGCAACCAAGATAATATTCCTAATAACCTAGCTGCAGATCACATAATGCCACGGCGCAATGGCTCAGAATGGCTCCAACAAAAGATGCCGAGAAGGCATGTCGGTATGCTTCACCGGATAGGCATTTGTAGTGCCGAGGGTTCGCATATAAAACAAGCAAGGATGCAACGGAATGGACGCGCCTATCAGGGTCCCAACAAACAACACAGACACGACAATGCGACAAAACAGCCAAGTTTAACAGATAACTAGGATTGTCACCATGATTCGCCGCCATTTCCGCTTTCAACTCACCCGGATGGAGACATCGTCTCCTGTCGCTTCACCTTGGAAGGTGACAGACTCTCGTTGTGCCTACGAAAATGGAAATGCGACGGCATTCAGGACGCATAAGGCAATGCTAGAAAGAAAAGCAAGCTATCACCCACCTCTTCTCGGCCGACATCGCGAAGGACACAGAAAGGAACCAAAAGGCACTAGTATAGAAACCGCCAAGCACGAGGAGAGTTAAAAATAAAGACAACTGATTATTTATAGCGAACGGACAATGCTGACGTACATATACACACGGGCAGATCGCAGCATGTTTCGGAATGGTGCGCCGGAATGATGGAACGGTCAACACGAATATAAATTTCGGCGATCAGTAATCGGCGCTTTCCAGGAGATGCGCCGACTTCACGACCGTGCTTTTCGCCGAAACCAGCTTGCAAGTTGCGCCGAAAGACCTTCGCCGACGCCAGGCAAATTTCGGCGAACAGTAATCGCCGAAACCAGCTTGCAAATTGCGCCGAAAGAATTTCGCCGATGCCAGGCAAATTGCGCCGACTCGAGGACCGCGCTTCTCGCCGAAACCAGCTTGCAAATTGCGCCGAAAGACTTTCGCCGACGCCAGGCAAATTTTGGCGATTAGTAATCGCCGAAACCAGTTTGTAAATTGCGCCGAAAGAATTTCGCCAATGCCAGGCAAATTGCGCCGAAATATAAGAAGCTTTCGAGGCGATCACCCCTGACAGCATTCGCCGATCAGTAATCGCCGATAAACCCTAATCTTCGGCGACCAGTAATCGGCGCTTTTCGTCAGACGCGCCGACTTCACGACAATGCTTGTCGCCGAAACCAGCTTACAGCTTGCGCCGATTTTGCTTCGCCGTATCCAAATCAATTGCCGAAACAGTTTTAGAGCTTTTTATAGCTCTTTTTATAGCTCAGTTGGAAAGTAACCAATGCCACCCTGAGCAAAAGACTTCTGCCAACTAATATTCCGTCACCAAACGGTTTTACGCCAATTTCGGAAAGTAACCAAGAAACTGCGAATGGCTCATTAACTCACTTATAGCCTAGTCGACATCATAATGCAAGACCTTGCAACAAAGAGATGGAGTGGGGAGCATGGAGGGAGGTGGAAGAGCATGTCGAAACCAATGTCATACTGTGTTGCTGTACGGCACCACACCTCAGGACACCATCCTGATGATGCCAGGCATGACGAGTGTTGGTGCCGATGGTGCCCGAACCCATGCAGTACCATGTTGCTATACGACAGGCGTGGTCAGAGGTGCTGGAGCGACAAGGGGGTGGTGAGGGGAGTGGGGAGTACGGAGGGGGGTGGCCACGGTCACCAAACAGAATTACGCCGATTTCTGAAAGTAACCAAGAAACTGCGAATGGCTCATTAATTCAGTTATAGCTTAGTCGACACCACAATGCAAGACATTGCGGCAAAGAGGGGGTGATGAGGGGAGTGGGGAGCATGGAGGGGGGTGGAAGGGCGTGCCAAAACACATGCCGTACTGCGTTGTCGTACACCTCACGGTGATGCAGGGGCGGTCGGAGGAGCTGGAGGGACGAGGGGACGAGAAGGGGAGTGGGGAGCATGGAGGAGGATGTGAGGCCGTGTCAAAACCCATGTCGTACAGATGCCGTACAACCGTACGGCAGTTGTTGTACACTGCCTTACAGCTGTCGTACATAGTCGTACATGTCGTACACCACATGATGTGTCATCACACAGCATGGCAACCGTGCCGTACAGTTTGCTGCCGTACAGTGTGTTGTCGTACTCGAGATCTCCCAAAACACCACCCCCATAGGCCCAGGCATCATCTCCAAGGGTGCCGAGGAAGTCGCAAAGAGGTCGCTACCTGGCTCGAACTGGAGACCTCTGGCTGGCTGAAAACAGGACTGAACGCTTAGCGCCCAAAGGAAGTTGCCACCCCTTTTGTGAACGGACGGACAGACGGACGGACAGACAGACAGACGAACTTTAGCGGTGATCTGTCCTCCAATCCTCCCCTCCACTTCGTTACGGGGGGATTTACGGTCACGGACACAAATTCGACCGACTGTCCTCCAATCCTCCCCTCCACTTCGTTACGGGGGGATTTACGGTCACAGACAGACAGACGGACAGACAGACAGACGAACTTTAGCGGTGATCTGTCCTCCAATCCTCCCCTCCACTTCGTTACGGGGGGATTTACGGTCACCGACTGTCCTCCAATCCTCCCCTCCACTTCGTTACGGGGGGATTTACGGTCATACGGTCACCGAAGGCAGCACATACTCAGCGCACGGGGGTTGCATGGGATTCATGCTTCATGTATGTGTCGTGTTGCTCGCTCCTTTGCCTGTGACTGCATGCAGTCGTCCGCCGTACAAGCCCACTCAAGCAGGCAGCTGGCGCCTCCTGCGCCACCCTGGGTTCATTTTGCGACGCACTTAACACACCTCGTACGATGACGCTCACAGGGGCCACCCGCCCGGGTTAGGCTTGAGACGGAAGGAGCACCAGAGCATCTACCAGATAGAGCAAGGCGTCTTTATCTATCTAGATAAAGACGCCTTGCTATCGACGTCCGGGGATGCCCTGCTGACACTGGCGAGGGGAGCTTGTTTTGCAGTGCAGGATGAACGCATGAGCCATCGGCAAAGAGGTGATTGTAGCCCACCTTACCCGACGTCTCGTACATACAATGGCTGGCTGCAACCTATCTGCTACCGGCATGGAGACATGCACCTTGTGACCTGACCTGACGCTGCCAACGCCCGAAGAGCCTGCTGTTCATCTAGGTGCCCCAAACTCATCGACCTCTGTCCTCAACGCCTCCTGTGCATGATCTCTCTCTCTCCTCCCGCTCGATGGATGCATGGGGGCTGGTCAGTAGGGGGGTCACGTGCGTGCGTGAGGGACGTATATGTGTGGGTATGATGCCGAGCAGGCGGCTTGTGCGGTCGTCATGATGGCGCTTCGGCTGGCAAAAGCAGCAGGCCGAAAGCTAGCGCTTCCAAGAGGTCCGGGCGAGTAATGGTTTGCAAGGTGCTACCCCCAAAACGGGGGAGGAGAGCAAAAGCGTATCGAGACCAGGTTTCGATCCTGGGACCTCGGGGTTATGAGCCCCGCACGCTTCCGCTGCGCCATCTCGATCTCGGGATATCAAACTCACAATCCGCATGCATATGGGGCGAAAACGGGCCTGGGATTGTACGGCAACCCCCTCTCCGCACGCCCATCCACGCTCGGGCAGTTCAGCTGGACCCCAGCGTGCCAGGCCTCCGCGCACGCTTTAAGGGGAGCTAAAGCCTGGCGAGAAACCGCGCTTGCAAGGAGCGGGATGGTCCGAAAGGGATGTCCGAACCACGGGTCACTCGTCCAAGCCATGCCCATCACGGTTCAGTTAGTTGCCCCAAGTGAGCTGCACACCGAAGGCAGCACATACTCAGCGCACGGGGGTTGCATGGGATTCATGCTTCATGTATGTGTCGTGTTGCTCGCTCCTTTGCCTGTGACTGCATGCAGTCGTCCGCCGTACAAGCCCACTCAAGCAGGC